GCTGTCATCAGACTTTCAATTTTTCAACAAAACTCAACTGCCACGAGATTTTCCGTACAACCAAATCTCAAAGTCCGAAGATTTGCAGGCTTTTTCTCGACCGAAATGCAGAACCCACGTGCAACAACAAATCTCATGCGTAAATAGCAACGTCCAAGGGAAGAATGGAGCAACGATCACATAATATTAGCCACAGAACAGACCTAAATAGTTGAATACAAATTGAGTGTTCTGATCACAAGTCTTTTTGTGTCCTCAACTTTCTCAGAAATTAAGTTTATAAGTGCCCAAAAAACATAGTTTGTAACGGGTGGCATTAGATTCTGTTATTTAATTTATTTTTATTCTTTATTTATTGGGTATATATTTTTTATTTTTTATTATTAATTATTTAACAAAATGTAATTTTTTTAGTGATACATAAATTTGAGTTTTAGATATGAAACTAAATTTTAGTTTTTTTATTGTTATTTTATATAATTTTTATGTGTTATTAACTGAATAAATATATTTAATATCATAAATTTTAAATAATAAAAATAAATAATAAATAAAAATGATGTAATAGTGTTATAAATGATAATAAATAAAATTCTAATAATATGTTTTTATTCTCCATAAAAATCAAATATCTATTTATCTTCCTTTGATTTAATTCATTCATTATATAATCATATTAATAAAATGAAATTGAGGAGATAAAGAGAAGAATATAATATATTGGTGTAAAGAAAAATGAAGGTTTATATATATGAGTAGGAAGATGAAAAGATATTGTACATAAAAAAAAAACGAAAAGATTAGAAAAAATTGTAACCGTATATTATTATTATATAATAATAAATAATAATAAATATATAATAAATATATATTATTATATTATTATTATATATTAAATATATATAAAATGCTACCCTATTTAATGCATAGGGTAGCATTTTATATAAGATATATAAGATAAGATTAAATCATTAGTTTCAACAGCCGGCAAGGGGAAAAGTCATAATATATAATCCTAATTAATCTGCATAGATATAACAAATTCGTCATCCTCACCACAACTTCAAGAACTCCAAAAAGCAGACATGTAGTAAATCTGCTGAGATAAGTATCAGAAATGAATCCGCCAACAAGGGAGAGCAGGAAAGTTGAGCCCAAAAAGTTTGTTACTGCGTTTGCGGAACCAGAGAGATCAAAGAACATGATTCCCATGAAGTAAAGGACCAAGCTCGCCATGTTTGCGGCAAAACCCATGTTTTCCAATGCCACGAACACTACATATTAGATTTTAATTACTTGTTAATTACCATTAAAAAAAAGAAAAACTAAATAAGCATGTCAATATATTGATAAAGAAAACCATTACTAGGATATATATCATCTTACCAAAAATGTATTTGGAAGCTTTAAATCCACCTTTGTCCTTGTTAACGGGAGAGACAGCAATGTTGCCGCCATTGGTGGTCTCCTCCGCCATGTTGATGATATGTACAGTTTAATTAAGCTACAGAACTGTTGGATGCCCTTAAACATGTGAGTATAGGATGAAATTGAACCCGCTAAGGATATATATAAACAAAAAAAAGACAGAATTTATGTCATTTAACTCCAATTAATTAAGCTTACATCAATGGACACGCCAAATGCGAACCACCCACGATAAATGCAATGCGCCGTAAAGTCATAATCCGACCGTGTATGCACGATAAATGTTGTATGACAAAATTTCAGCAAGCAACCAAACGAAGGTTATGTGAAATAGTAA